AGCAAAATCGTTCCGCATGTTGCGCCGTAAGCCGCTGTAAGCTTTTATTTGGGGCTCTCCACGTTGCCACCGTAAGCGCCGTAAGCGCTTGTCAAGAAAAACGAGCGCCGTAAGCTAAACCTTGGGTTTCGTAAGCCACTGTAAGCAAATCCTTACCGTCAAAGAAACCGGATAAGAATTTTGACCCCCGCTCATATGGTTCTCATGTGGCCAATCATCAAGACAAAGGTTGCCCTTGATGTCGCAATATCATGGCATCCAATCCTCTTTGCTGCCTTGTGTTGTCTCTTGCTTTAGCAGGTGGTCAAACAAGGTCTGGAATGCTCCGAGCCATTGATTAGATATGCACTCAAAAAAAAGGTTTTTGACAGGGATGGCGGGGAGACGTGGCGAGGGGTGGTGAGGGGTGGAGGCAGGAAGCTGAGCTGTCGGGGGCTGGGTCGGTCAATGTTGATCTTCCCAGCAATCATGACCTTATGCGAAGGGAACTAATTGTAAACTCATATCATATGTTCGCTCATGGATTGCTTGACTTACTTGCGCTTACTCCGCTATTCCGTCAGCCTGGCATTGGTACGCGCAACGTCATGCTTGGCGCTATGTCAAGCTTTCCCCACCTTTTCTGCAGTGTTCAGTGCCATTGCATGGCCATTTTGAAACATCATCATAATTTGTTGCTGCTGCAAATCTCCCTATTCCGTCTGTAGTGTTCCGTACCATTACATGGTCCTGGTGCGAAGATCATCATGCTTAAGGCCGTGATAGGAATAAAGCTATGCCGGTGTTTGCATCAGGCCTCCCTACTCCCACTCTAGAGTTCACTGCCCTTGTGTGCTCATGCTACAAGTAGAATCATGCGGGGTGGTTGCATCGAACCTTGCGTCTTTCTATAGTGCTCGCAAAGCTTACATGTCGTGGTTCGAGTAACACCATGCTTGTGGTTGGATCAACATGCTTGATGGTTGGGCCAAACCCTCCCTGCCTCCCTCCGTAGTTTTCATTATCCCTGCCATGATTTGAGTAGCATCTTGCTGGTGGTCTCATCAAACCTTCCCACTCCCTCTGTGCGTTCATAACTTTTGCAACGCCTTGGTGCGGGTAACATCACGCTGGGTGACTGCATCAAACCTCCCCCCTCCTCCTCCTCCGCCTCCTCTCGTAGTGTTCACTACCATTCTATAGCCATGGTATGAGAAACTTCACTTGACACCTCCCTACTCCCTGTAATTAGTGAATGCGCTGCCCCTGCGCGGCCATGGTTGCATCAAACCTCCCCTTGCATTTGTCGTGTCCACTGCCCTCGGATGGGCATTGTGCGTATGTCGTCATATTTCTTGGTCGCATGAACCTTCCCTCCTTGCACGCAAGTGCAGAAGACCTGGCTAGCTTTCGTTGGCCTCGGCTTGCCCCTCAAGGAAGACAGGAACCAAGCCTCAAGAAATACTCGCCGAGCAAGCGTGGCAGAGGTGGTAGTTCTCAGTCTTTTGAGCCAAGTATCCTTTACTTGCCACTTGCCACCACGCTTCTTTTGGGTGCCTTGTTCTTATATTCATGTCAGGAGACCTGCATGACCTACTCTGCCGACATTGTGGTTCGCGGTCCCGTGGCTCACCAAAGTCTCAGTTTGCAGTCATTCTAAGGTGACTAAGGCAGACCTCAACAATTTCAGTTGCATGCAGATGCTTCATTTAGGGCCTGAAGGAAGTCTGCGTCTGTGACAGGGTCAACGTGACAACAGCTGTCCAAAACACCATAAGATTCACCTGGCTATCTCAGCCGATGCTTTCCTTTGCTGTTATCGACAGGATGTACATGTGCAACTAGCAGACCTAGACAGCCCTCAGCGTTGCACCCCGTGGCCACTTCTTTCTCAGGCTTCATTGTTCTCAGAGCGCGGTTGTACCAGTAAATTGGTTCTCCCAGCATGCAGGGTGGTTTTCATTGTTGCGACTTTCTCCAAGCGTCCGTACTTTCTATATACCGGGCTCACATTGACACATAGTTGAAGCGCACATGCCAAATAACGGCAATTACACCAACAAGGCTCTTCCCGAAAATCAACTTGAGCTTTCCAGAACCTGCCTTGGGTGCGGGCCACATGGCGTCCTTTGCCATCATCCCGAACGATGAGCATCCTGACGCTGCCGATATGTCCGATGAGCACTGTCGATCCGAATGGATGCCGGCGGCGGCGGCCACCGTACGCCGAGAGGGCTATTTCCGGAAGCTGCTTCGGTTGCCATTTCTGCTGCTGGTATTGACAGCGTTGATGGCCCGGTCACAGTATTTCGTGCAAATGCCCAGTAGCCCAACGGAGACGAGACTTAATACACAGTCTGAAGGGATTATGCTTGAAGAAGCTGGTTCCTGCCCGGCTGTGTGTGGTCAGTCCATTGCATGCACGCCAGATGCAACAAAGCCAATCATTCCAGAAAGGGACTGCCCAAAGTTTGCACCTGGAGGTGCGGCACCAGATGTTACCACAGCTCTCTTGGATTTACAGGAGTGCGGCTTTGACCCTTTCGATGAGTTTAATACTTCATGGCTGCTGACAGCGTTCCAGCCGTCCGACTTGTATTTCTACCAGGTACAGCTCGAGGGTATCTTTTTTCAGACTTTTTCGATTGTGAGTGGGATTTTCGAGAGCATCAATCCGAATGATCTTAATGAAGTCCGAGTTGCCAGAGATGGTCCGCTCACCGGGGAAGAAAAGCTGCTAATCACCTCTCTGGCCTTTGCCAATGACACTATTTTGTTCTTTGCGAATGGCTCTGAGTCCACTCCGAAGTTCTCGTGGCAGCTGCGGGAGACTGTTCCAATTACTCCCCTGCGGCGCCGACTTTCCTCAGATTCCTACGTTTGTGCGGACGGTTGTGTCATCTCAAGCTCGTTTGTGGATGATAATTTCTGCGACTGCCCAGGGACATGCGATGATGAAGCCAACTGGACATGTGCCACCTGCGCCACCACCACAACCACCACAACCACCACGACCACAACCACCACGACCACAACCACTACGACCACGACCACTACGACCACGACCACTACGACCACCACGACCACCACGACCACTACGACCACCACAACCACCACAACCACCACAACCACCACGACCACTACGACCACCACGACCACCACGACGACGACCACCACCACACTTACGCCAGCACCCCCTCCGCCTCCCCCAGATCCAGAGCCTGAGGAAAACAGTCAGGCCTGCATCTTGCCATGCTTGCAGGGTTTGCCGACCTTACCAGTCTTAGGATTAGCTGCTCAACTTTTTCTTGCAATCATGTGATCCATGACTTCTGTTAGAGCACACGCCAGGCCGTGAAGGACCTGTCCACGGGCATCGGTGTTGGGATTGGCGTCGGAGGAGGTCTCGCGCTTGGCCTTGGACTGGGGATCGGCCTGGGCACAGGCGCTGGAGTTGGGACCGCCGGGTCGGCAGCCAGCGCCGCTGCAGCTGCAGTCTCCGTGGCAGCTGCTTTCAGCGCGCAGGGGTCCCTGAAGCTTCAAGTGGAGGATCCGCAGCTCCTAGAGACGGAAGCCTTCAGCAATGCCATCAAGCGCTCCATTGCCAGAATCGCAGGGGTCTCTGTTGTTCCGGCCATGGTTGAGCTGATCATCGGTTGCGCAGCAGCCAGCCGAAGGCTGGTTGCAAATTCGCGCATCTTGCGTCAGCTGGCGCAGACGGTAGAAGTTTGCTTCAAGATCGGCATTGAACAGGAGAATTTGGCGGAGGAGGTTTGTGATACCTTATCTGGCTACAACGCTGGCACCGTTGCAAGCGTGATTTCATCGGAGATACTTGAGTCCGGCATTGAACCAGGACAAGTGGAAGTTATAGGGTACGAGCCGAATCCAAATCCGCTGGCCAACAACCCAAATTTACCCACGGGTGGCGCTGCATTTGTTCCGCGTGCAGGTGGCATCAACTTGGGTTAGCTGCTCCGAAGGAGACACTGCCAAGATGATAGAGGGTTTCACGTCATATTAGGCGCGGGGGGGTGGTAGAAACATTGACCAGCCTGTTGCAAAAGTCTTTGTCTGGCCGGAACATCTTTGGCGGAGTCAAGCTTCTGTAGGTCGCATCACTTTTCAACTACTGCCCTGCAAGTGTCGCAGCGAACTCGTGCGCTTTTCAGTTCAAGCTTGCTTGATTGTTTCAGTGCGACACATGGTCCAGCCATCATGCAGACCAGCACCGTTGCAAGCGTGGGAACCGCTCTGACATTCTGAAACATCTCGAAATAAAAGTCATGCCCTACTGGTAGTGATGCCAGCCTAACAGCTCAGCTCGAATTAGTGGACATCAGTAGCTGAAAAGATCTTCAGAAGCCACTCACATGCTTGCCTCTGGGTAGGATGAACGGTAGATGGCTGAGATGGCTGGTTGTCCTGGCTGGTTGGCAGCCTGGGGCCAAGAAAGCGAGAGCAAGACCATTTTGTAGAGCCGAAGATGGCATGCATGGAATGCTGAGATTACTCCATGGGCTTAGCTCAACCTCCCCAAGTTCAAAGCAAGGGTTACAGATGCGCGGATGGAAAGATGCTGGACTTTCTCCTGACCTCAGAAATGACTCGCACTCTAAAGTGTGCAAGGCAAGTCCATTAGATCAAGGCTTTCATGCATCCTCCTGAGGTGCGACTATGCAGTATTCCAAGAATTCGCGGCTGAGGCTGGCCATGTACTTGCTGACCCGAGCGTTTCAACACTGAACACTGTGTCTTACTGCTTTGCTGGCGTGTTTGCAGACCCTTGTTGGATTTGACTTTTGTTTTTCCCCGTATTCAGATGTATAGCAAACTATGCTTTTTTACTCTTGAATACAGGAGCGGGCTGCAGATATGATGTAATTAGTTCTTGGTGCATGCAGGCAGAGGCATTGGCTGCGCTGACGGCGAACAAGGCGCAGCCTCTGAGACGCAAGATGCGGGCTCTCAGTTAGACGCAGCTTCAGACCTGGCTTAAAGTTATATAGGCTTTTGTGAAAGCAGCTACGGTTTCGTGGTCTATGCCAAGCCGCGGGTCAGCATGGCATCTGCTGGATGTGACTTTTGAAGCTTCAATCATGCCATGAGAAAGTCACGGTATCAGCAAGACTTGCCAGCCGCACCTATACCTCAGAAGCAAGAACTCTCGCCGGGAAAGCGCCATAACAATTCGAACTGGTCTTGTCTGATGTCCAGGCTCTGGCTTTGAAAGCCGATCCTGCAGAAGCAGCGCAGCTGATAAGAAATGGTCTTGCCTGCTTGTTGAACTCTTCCACGGTGCTTGCAGCTCGCCCCCTTGTACTTTTTTCAGCGTCTCTCCCGCAGTTCGGACATGCTTCGGCTTTCCACACGGAGTCGCCAGCCAGGATGGTGGATGCTGTGCCGTGAGCTCGTCCTTGCCTCTCATGGCCAGAGCGGCTTTGCGGGAACCTCGGGGGAGCGGCAGGAAGCTGTCAAAACACAATTATATGATGCTAGTTATCTGATGCTGCATATGATTGGCTGAGGCCACAGCTGCTTAGGATTGCAGATCCATCGTCAGCGAATTGCTTGTTGCCGCTGTGCCGAACCTTCCGAGGGGGCCTTGGAGAAGGCAGTTCGCCAGGAAGTGACGCAACTCAAACAGCCCGGACCTTGCCACCTTGCCATCAGTCCCAGATTGGTAGTGCATCATTCAGGTGTCTGTACATATTGCTTGTTGCAGGAACGCAGATGATCTTCTTTTGGCCTTGAGCCCCCAAGATGAAAGTCGCCCAAGCCCAAGATTGCCAACTGACTGTTGCGAATGAAGCAGTTGCTCGGCTATGCTTGCTGTACCTGTCACCGTTCGCAACCGCTGCCAACAACATCACTGCAACGTGTCTCCAGCATGCATAATGCCATTCGTTAACCATCCGAGCAGACCGAGGAATTGGGATGGTGCGATGTGCCACTCAGTGGGCGCAGATACCCGTATGCAAGAGCAATTCCAGGTAAAGACTGGTCATTTGCATTCATCAAGCATGGTGCATGTGTGATGGTTTGAGTGAAGCAAGGAACAGTTCAGCGATTTTCCTCAGCATCAAGTTTGCGCATCGATGGTCTTCACCTGGCGCGTTGAAAGTCGCTTGATTGCTGTTGGTACGTCCCCACTGATGCGGTGATGGGTTACATTGCGCAGATGCAATGGAATCAGCCCGTGTATGCTCCCCACCACGCTCACGCTGCAAAGAGTCATATCAGGGCCACTCTTTGCCGCCCAGCAGACTTTGCATATGCTTTGGGCGGTTGGCTGTGATCGCAGACGTATGGATGTGAGCATTGTCCTGAGGTACAGGACGAGAAGATCGAGGTCTCCTCATGCTGTTTTAACTTCTCTGCTTCCGGAGACCACTCACAGCTCAAGAAGCGCTATGCGCCCTGGCCTTGGCTGCTTTAGAAAGTTTCTCTGAAGAGGCAGAGCTGAGATGAGCTGAGAGCTGTGCTTTCACCGTAGGCTCGACCTGGCATTTTACGGCGAGGTTGGCCTGGCACCCAGGAGATCCCAGGAGCCCGGCTTCCCGCATCTTCCCACCAGCCTCTCGTTTTGAAAGCACGGCCTTTTGCTGTAGCTTGAAGTGATTGTCCAACTGAGACCCAGACCACTGGTCATGGCAACTTGCTTCTGCTGGTCGAATGACTACAGAGTATTCCAGCCGAGCTTTGCAGCTGCAGCGTGCCCATAGAAATGGGAAGGTGCGTGATGAAAGGCCCAGCATCCAAGAGACAGCGCAATTAGTTCAAGCTTGCACCATGTAGTGAGGGTGCTGCGGCATGCCTCAGCGAATCTTCTCTAGCTATTGAAGCAAAGCATGACTTTGGACAGAGTGGGCTTTGCACCGTGCGTGCCAGGATTCGCAAGCGACAACGAGGGAACTGGCCTCGACTGCTTGAATCCAAAAGCGCTTCAGCGTCAACACATCTGCCATGCTTAACATGCATTTTCCAAAGAGCGCAGTCGAGATCTGAGCGTTTGTGAAGGGAGATGAAAGTTCATGCTCGCTTCTTGTGCAAAGGCAAGCCCGGAAACTTACAGCAGTGGGACTCTATGCAGGACAAGTGCCTCTGAACTTTACGTGCGTGAAGCCTGCGCTGTAGATCTGCATTCCACACAATCTATACTCTGCACGGTTCTTTCAACTTCTGCGCCCACTCTCGCGGGGCTCACGCCACGAGAAGCGTTTGAGGTGTTTGATCAATGCATGACGGGTCTGTTTCACGGAAGCGGCCGTTTACAGGTGCTTGCTTAGGTAGAAGGCTACTTTTGATGCATCTGGCAGGACCGCTGGAAAAGCGAACTAAAAGAGTTCGATCGCCAGCACAAGGCCCTTCAACTTTTCAGCTGAAAAAGACGGATTCTGGAAGAAGCCGTGTTTGATTGGAGGCCGCTAACAAAGAAGCCGATAGTGCTGAAGGACAGGAAGCTGCAGAGGCGCTCAGGGAGATTGGGCATCCTCGTGCGATGAAGAGCGCTTGTCGATGGTATCCATGCTCTGCTTTGATCTTAAGTTATCACAGCCTCTTGCGCTGCAGGAAGAAATGCATTCCAGCGGCAGGAGGGGTCTACCAATCTCATCAAATCAGCCTCGTGGCGCTAGCCGTGCAGTCTGTTTAACAAGCCTCTACATAGATCGCCTTGCACTCATGGCTCACCGGGATGAGAGATGTAGCGATTTGACATGCAGACAGCCGATAGCAGGCAGCAACAATTTGAAACATGAACGCAGGAAGAAATGCGTGGACAGCCGTGCTTCTCCATTCTCCAGTGCTGGCAATGTTGCAAGGTCCGGCGGAGAGTTACAGCAGTTCTTTCCAGTTACCTCTCTGAAGCTTTTCACTTGATTGCCAGGCTCTGTGAGGCTTACTGGCCAGTGAGGCTGTGGCAATTTGCAATTTGCATTTCCCGAATGTTTCTGAGCAGGATGGACACGAAAAAGAAGGGCAAGTCCTCAACCTGGCTGGTGCTCTTTCATTCTCCGTTCTTGGCTCAGGACCTTTCACACTCCTCTGAGCGCATGCGCATATGGTCACACATTCCAAAGGTCGGAGATGAAGTGCTACGACCGTGGCGAGGAGTGCCAGCGGGTTAAAGATCGATGGGAAGCCGTTGGTCGAAAGGTCTCTTGGCTACTAAAATGAATGCGTCCCTGGCTTCCACTGCTTTCCCGGGAATGAAGTGTTGCACAAGAATATTTGCTAGCTGGATGGATGGCTTGAAGTTAGCTGCGATGGTCTGACCGTCCAAACAGCTTGAGGTGGAGCAGGTCAGTGAGGCCTGAGCGGTGATCAACAAGATGCTGTTTGCAAAGATACTATCTGCCATACCATGTGCAGCGAGGAAGCAGACCTGTGATGCCCGACAGGCTTTGGTCGGGGCCGTGGACTGCGACCGGCACGTGCCGCTCTTAGTCCAGATTGAAATGGGACAATATTTTATTATTGTATGTTGTAATATATTCTACTATATTGTAGTATCTTATACTATACGTTGTAGTATATTGAAATATATTACAGTGTATTCCGGTATATTGTAATGTATTATACTATATTGTAATATACTATATTATATTGTAGTATATTATACTGTATTGTAATACATTATATCATACTGTTGCATATTATCATATAATAGAGTATGTTAAAGTATATTGTAGTAGCATATAATGTATTACAGTATAGTATATTAGAATATATTATCATATAATGTATTGCAGTATATTATAGTATATTGTAGTACATTATAGTATATAACAGCCTTACAGATCCGAATCTGCAAGTCCCTGGCCACTTCAGGCAGACCTCTGCCAGAGGGAGAAGGCCGGTCAATGCTCTGAGGTCATTATTGTATGGTACCCATTGGGATAATATTAGTGTTGTATAAGGGTTATATAGGGATAATGGAAACTACCGGGATTATGGGGGTTGTATGTGCATGAATCTTACGCCCGATCAGACCCGTTCGCCACCGTAGTACCTCAAACAGCTTCACCGCATGCACAGGTTAGAACACTGCCATTTGTTCGACGCTATCGAAATGGCAAGAAGAAGACCTACTACGGTGAGCAATTTTCTCAGCGGCCGCGTGTCCAGTATATATCGACCAACAGAACACACCAAAAAACTAACCAGGTGGGACATCGACTCCATCATGAAGATTGTTGTGGATTGATTTTGCCGTTTGCGACAACCCCAGCGGTCCGAGCCTATCTTTGGGCTGAAGCTATCACACTTGCAGGCACTTGCGGTTGTGCATAAGAGTGGTGAGGTGTGTTGTTGATCGATGCGAGTCTTCTGTCTGCATGGGCCCGAAATACAAGAGGTTCCCAATCCCAAGAAGATCCTCTGGTATTTTTAGAATTTAAAACATTTAATATTTTCGGAAACTTTCATTATTTTTTGTGGGCTGAGGTCCGATACAGAGCAATTCGGACAATTGCTCCCTGCATACTTCATGCAATTGCAAAAAAAAGAGTCGCTGAGAATTCGCGGAATTTTGGAATATCATATAATGAAATGCAAGCCCCTTTCCAATCAATATTGGATCTCCATACAGGAATGAACGCTGAAATTCAGATATGTAGCTCAAGGCTTGCCCCAGAAATGCAGACCTGCGACCGATTTGAGAATCTTTCAATCGATTTATCAAATTGCCGTGGCATTCTGCCGGTCTCTCATATTATCGATCTAATTTTCTCTGAAATTTATTTATTTGGTAGTCGGTCTCTGAAATAATCTATTAATATCGGACGATAGATATAGAAAATAAATAATACTATATCTTGATTATTTTCAGAATTCTAGGATTTTCTCATTATATGACATTAGATTCTAAATAATAGAAATATAGATATAGATAATGAAGAGAATATTCCGCGAATTTCCGATATTTAGGCTTTTCATAGGAAGAAATTTTAATAAAATCTAAAGAATATTTCTAAATCGAATTGATTTGGATATTTATCGTACTTTTAGACGAGATTGAAAGAAATTAGCTTCTTTTTATAAGAGAAAATATAGGAATTAAGCAATCTTATCTTTCGGAAATTAATTTTATTTCTTGAATGATTTGAGGAAGATGATAAATTTTTGATAAATATTTCAGAATTTGATTTTTTTTAATTTCTTCAAAATATTCGTAAGATAAGAAGATTATTGGATGAGCTTCTTTTAATAGGATAGAAAATATTAGATTCATGACAAGATTTCTTCGATTTCAAATAAAATAGGATGAAATTAATATTTATATGAATTTCTTCTTTATAATGATTATTATGAATGAGAATTCCTTTCTAAAAATATATCAAAATTACGAAACAGATTTTTGCATTCGTTTCAATTATATGCGACCTTATTTTCCCGGTTCGAGTCTCTGCCATTCTTCTTGCGGACTCTCTATAGGCTCTAAAATCTCGGAGATTCGGAGATTTTAGAGCCCTTCAGAAAAATGGTTATATGCGTGCCTGCTCGGTAGAATGCGTAGAGCCGGGATAATAACATCTCTTATGCGTTCTCTCGATTCGTCGTTTAATATTTAGCTCAAGAAAGATAAATGAAATAGAAATTCTGGGCTGGAAATTTTTGACCCATAACAACAAAAATATATCGAGATTTCGAATCATTTCTTATTCTTTGGCTATCTACGGTCCCTGGCCTCGGAATGAGATTCCGCGTGATTCATTTCTCTTTGGCTACATGCGCGGCTGGTCGGCGGAAAATACAGACCCGCGTCCCGCAATAATTAATCCAAGAAAGATAAATGGCGGAAAGATCGGGCTGGAGAGCTTGGGCTACGGCCAAAAATCTCCCGAGATTTCAAATTATTTATTTTCGTTTGGCTGTCTGCGTAACGGCTCGACGGAATATATAAATCTGAGATAGATAATTGAAATCTTTCAGAATCTATAGATTAGTCGTTTTTGGTCAAGAACTAAAATATACGCGATTAGCAAGAATATCCCTTCTTATAATAGATTCTTATAAAATGATCTGATGATATTTTCCCGCAAGATAAATAGCTATTTCATGAATTATCAAAGAAGTAGAGCTTCCTATATCTCCCAGGGAAACAGAGACATATGACGATTTAGATTTCGAATTGAAATTAGAATTTCATTTATCCGTGCAAGATTTTACCTATGGATATATAGAATACGGAAATTAGATAATCGCATCGGATTATTTGGGAAAAATCGTCAGATTCTGAAATATCTCTCTAAATCCTTAGACTCCAATCCATAAATCCGTCCCTTCAAGAATACCTCGAGATAGGCATCTATTTCTTGGAGAAGCAATTTGATAGATATGGTAATGCCTCCTAAATACGTAATTTCCTCAACTGCTGCTAGCGTGGTAGCCTTCAATTTCAAAATAAAGATGATTATTCAATATTCGATATATCAAATTAGAAGGATATAGGATTTGGAATTCCGTATATTTCTTTCTTCTATATGAGCTCGTTTGCCATTACGAATATATTCCAAGGACGATGCTCCGCTATTATAAGCAGCGAATTTACTCTACTATATTATATTTCTTTGAATATTTTTAGAGATAAAATTGAAGATATAGGAATCAAATTTGAAGGAATAGAGATGAAGATATTTTAAATAAAAAAAGATAAATCAGAAAAATCGAGATTCTTCCCTTAATTCAAATAAGACGAGATTAGATAATTGAATTGAAAATATTTCAATATTATGACGTGACTATTTGCAGCTATTTCGCTCGCGCGCGGCTTACGACGAGATTTTTTAAATAAATAGAGGATAATGAATCCTAATATATTTCGGCAGGAATTCAATCTTTATTCAAGAATTCTTTATTTATCAAATTTTATCTTTATTCAATTCGTATCTCATTTTTATTCATATATCTATAATTTCCTATTTCAATTTATTTTTTTCATCAATCTTTATAAGAAATTCCTCAATAATATGGCGCACCATTTGCAGATATTTCGCTCGCACGCGACCTAGATTTTCGGCTCTCCTTGGAAATGCCTCTTGCAGGCTGATTAGATACTTCAAAATCTCGGAGATTTTAGAGCCTTTCGGAAAAGCTAAAGATTCTCCAGATCTTCGAGATTTTTGGCGCGGGCAGCGCGACCGAAAATCTCGGAGATTTTGGGTCGCGCGGCACTTGCCGCTTCCGGAGCGGATTTCCACGTGATTTATCTCTCTTTGATTATCTGCGCGTCATCTCGACGGAGAATATAAATCCGTGATAGAGAATGAAAATCTTTTAGAATTTATAGGGGACCATAGCTCCGCGCAGATAGCCCAAGAAAGATAAATGAGACGCAAAATCCGAATTTGATCCAAGGCCCGCGCGATCCGAAATCTCCCGAGGTTCCGGTCAATGTCTCTCTCTCTCTATGACTATTTGCGTAGCGGCTCGATATGGAGCGGCTCGGTATAGACCCTAGACGGAGATCCAAAAATTTTCAGAATCTATTTTCTTGATCGTCTTGGGTCACGTGCGTTGATTGATCGTCGAGATTCGTGTACGATTTTAACTTATGCGCGATTTTTCTCTCTTTGAATCTTGACGTGGTTATTCGGAGTAGCGCGTAGATCCGAGACGGAGAATCAATATCTTTTAGAATTTATAATTTGCTCATATTGATTCACGACGAATTATATATTTTCCCGGTTTTTTTTTGGTACGCGCAGTTATATATATATTGATTGCTCGTTGAGCTTCATATATCATCTTATATGAGTGTCGGACTAAATCTCTTATGCGGCATAGAAGTCATCAGATTTAGGGTTGGCATCTATCGATTATCAGCGTTTTGAACCTTTATTGCATTCCGTGGTTCAGTGCCTCTTTCCGTATTTCTAATTTTTATTTTAAATTGAGCAGATCTCCCTTCAAATTGACGCGGCCAAACAAATGCCTTGAAATGAGAGTATGGGATCAGGCTGAGCAGGTTCTTTTCTATGGCGCTCTTCTTGCCATGGCCCATGTATGGCGTCTCGAAAACCCTTTATTGAAATAAAATGACTATCTAATTGCGCAATATTTATTTTAGAACATACATCTAAGCCTCTGACTTCTTGGACCATGAATTCATCTATTTGGAATATCGATTGGGCATCATTAGGGAATATCGAGGGAGCACTCCTGCAATTCAGAAAATTCTGCACTCGCCATATCTAATAAATTTCAGAAAAAGATCTTTCAGCGCGATACTAAATAAATAGATTTATTTTTCCTTCATATCTTGGGATCTCCTAAAACTTATACCATAATTAATATCAGATTCTTTTTTTGGCTGGGATTATCATTATTATATCTGTTGTAGATCGACAAAGATAATCTATAAATCAAAAGTATGAAAATAGAATCAATCCCTATCGAATTTCGACCATTCTTTTATATTATTCTTTTATATAAATTTTATCTATCATTCATATGATGCACTCACGCCTTGCTCTTTTTGGCCAGACGCGTCTTCTGAATCCGCGGCTTTGTTACTTGGTATGGTCTATGACCATATCGGCGATCACTCTGACACCATTGGTGTCATGAAAAGGATATAAAGCTCAAGAGCCATGCTTTGCAGGGCTCAGTTACCTCCCTTATCCGCCTTGCGCTCTGCTGAAAAGTTGTTTCGAAACGGCATCAGCGATCTCCTTGACTAGTTGGAACGGATAGGGCTGGGCAATGAGGGTCATGAAGCGCCCGTCAGCGGCAATGCCATGTAAGGGAATATGCCGCTTGCCATTTACACTGCAAGAGGTAAAAGTTCCTTTGCAGCAACGCCCTAGCTGTTTCAAGTCAAGGCCATAGCAAAGGAGGGAAGTAGGTTTCCTCCATCGCTCCCCAAATTGGCAGAAGTGAAGCTCAACAAGCTTGGCCCTCCCGCCTGTGATGCACGACTTCAAGATGGGAGTTTGCCAGCACCTGGAAGACTGAGGATTCTCAAGCACATAAGGGACTCGCAGCAGCTCACACAAATACATGATCCTGCAGGTGAAATACAGCAAGCGGTTGCCCTCATGCAGTTTTCTGCGATCATGCGGTTTGAGGCCAGGCAATCCCATTGGGCGTGAATTGCTTCGCAACGGTGGTGGACCTATGCCATCATTTTTCCGAGCGATGCTGAAACTGGTGCATGGCATTCCCAGCCAAACGAAGGAGAACCTTTGTTGTTGAAGTAATTCAACCAGTTGAGCTTCCACCTCAGGCTGGAGCACGTCGTCGTTTGGATTGAGGCAAATGTCCAGGCAGAAAGCTGAGACGCCTGCTCTGCGCAGTGCAACGGTAAGTCTGCCGCAGCCGGCAAAAATCTCTAGACAGCTGCCTGCGGGTGCCTCTCGCCAATCCTGCCAGAGCGGACTCACTGGCTGAGCGGGTTCTTTGATCCGCTCAACACTGCCTCCATCGAGGCCTCGGCTCTTCGACAGTAATCCAATGCCCAGCGTGGCATTTTGTTCAACAACGTCTGAACCTTGCCCACTTTGCCGTATCTCCGCACCGATGAGTCGGTTCTCCACCTTCCACGGTCTTTGACTGCCGCATACTCCCTTGTCTTCGTCAACAGGTCGTCTGCTGCTCCTCCATGCCGAAGTTGGTAGGTGCGAAGCCCGGGCAATCCCAGCCAAGCGCCGGCCGACTCGAACGCCTTTCGGTACTTTTCCGCCTCCACGTTGAAAAGAAGGTCGTTCTCCTTTTTGCCCTTTTTCAGTTTCTCCAGCGCTCTCCCCAGCCACTTTTGCGTCCTTGGGTGGTCCAGCGGCAGCGAGTTGTTGAACACCCCCGTCTTGTCCGGCACGTAGTCGTCCTCGTCCCGAACCACCACGACGTAGTGTTGAAACTGCTATCCACTCCCACGGACTGGGGGCACCAGATTCTTGGCTTTGAGCGTCAGCCCCTCCCCTGGTCGTAGATAAACATCGAACGACAGGAGCACCAGCAGGGCCATGCCACGTTGCTGAAGACTCAGCATCCGCATGGCTATGCCGAAAGCCACCATCCTGGCGAGAGGGAGCCGACTTTTTGGTGCGACCTCTTTTCGCCACCCTCGAAGGGCTCTTCGGCTGCGAAGTAGAGTGCCCTTGACGTGGTGCTACTGGAACTCCACTGCTGCGAGCGTCTTTTCGCCAACGCTCACCCCATGACCGTCCTGGAAGAGGATGGCGAAGAAATCGGCCAGGACCGAGTCGACCTTTGACCGAGGCGGCCACCGCAAAGCGTTGTCCTTGCAAAAGTCCTTGAACTTCTTGAGGTAGTGCATGTATTGATTCTCTTGTTCGCTGCTGATGCTTTTCCTCTCCAGCTGGGAGAGCTGTCCGCACTGGGCTTTGCTCCCAGGGGGAGCTTCCTCCACTGAGAAATTCACCACCACATTCCTCCGTTCTGCACGGACTCTCTTCTTCATCACTTTTTCGGTTCCTATGTTGCTGCTGCCCTTCCCACTCCGTGATGGGTGAATGTTTGGCTCTGCTCTCAGCTGCCGACTCTCTTGACCACTGGCGGCTAGCTTTCGTTTCTTGCTTTCCACCTGCATTGAAATGCCCCGGAGTGCTCGCTCCTCTCGAAGGCCCGTCCGAGACATTGTACTCGGAAGGCACCCACCGCACTCTCAGCACAATGTTGCATGCAAGTAGTAAGGCCCCGATCTTCTGATTCTCACGGAGCATGGCATGATTTGAGCAACGCCCCTTCCCGGCTGCAAAGGCCAGAGCCAAATTATCCACGAGAACAAGGTGTCGCTTGCCTTGACTGTTGGAATTGCGAGCCAATCTACGAACTGCTAAAACCAATGTGCGGTCCTCCTTCAAGGTGATGTGCTCATGCTTGGGAGTCCAGCGTCCAGACAATATAACTTGATAACCCTGAGGATCAAGCATTGAGACAGGCACCTCCTGGAAGTCCTCGTTAGGCATGTAGCAATCTGATTGCTCAAAGGCCTCAGGGTTTCTAGCTGCAGTGACCGGATCAATGAGTGGATCCCCAAGAGCACGGCGTCGCGGGGCCCATTCATCAATTGGAGTTCGTTTGTACCTCCAACGTTCTTGCCATCGCCCTACGTGCTCCACTGCTGCCTCATCAAACTCTTTCTGACAAATCCCAAAGCCTTCGGGTGAAGCGTCCGTCACCGTCACGACCTGGCTCCAGGGTAGTCTAAGGTCAGATACCAGCATAGGAAGGAGGCCGGAGAAGATTTCAAACTCACGCTTAGCACTCATCCATAGCTCTTTGCGCTTGAAGTCCTTCGCCGCGAAGTCGTAAGCACTTCGGAAGACCCCCATACCTGAGCGGTTGAGTGCCAAAACCACCATGCTGTGCCCCAAAACTCGCTGGACCAATTTGGAAGAAACGGAGTTGTTCACAATGTGGTTGCAAACGCGCCTCAATCTCCATGATCTCTCAGCTGTAGCTCGAACCAGTCCAGCCTGCCCGTCAATGACTCCACCAAGGGTGGGGAACAAGGTGGTTGCACTGATCTCTTCATGCACCTCAAACCCCCAGTCCTCAAGCTTGCCCTTCACTGCGTCCATCCCCTCCTGGCTTCTGTCTGCACTCAAGCTGAGAATGTGGGTGTTGTCGCAATAAGGCATAGACAAGGTAGAGCTTGAAGACAATGTGGGCGGAGGCCTAGCATCAAGCACCAAATGCTCCCCAACTCCTTTAACTGGATCACCGCATGCTTGGACATATAACGCTTGAACCAGGAAAAACGACCAGGAAAAACCCATAGGCAAAACATTCAGCCCCGGGCCCACCATGGCGTCATTCGGCAGGCCCTCCAAGCCCGATGGGAGGCCACCGTCATACAACTCAGCCACCTCACCGACACTGATATCAAAAGAGAAGCAGAAGTAGCTGAGCAGTTCATCAGGCAACCGGCATGCGTAGAAACAGTCCCGAATGTCGCCCCCCGAGACGTACATGCTATGCTGACTGGGAATGTAGAGATCACCCACTGCTGAGAGCGAGCCTAGTTCCGTCACCGGTGGTGCACGAAAGAGAGCGTTTACCTTCCTGCAATCCAGAATCAGTCTCTGCCTCTCTCGCATGGCACCGTCTATCTCCTTGGGCTTTTTGCTCACGACAAATGCTCCAACCCTGCCTGCAGCAACCTTGGAAAATGAAAGGATACCGGCCTTCTTCAGCTTCTCCAAAAAGCGTTTGTAGAAATCCCTTTGCCGGAGCTGCGGGTCGTCATAGGTACGGATTTGTCGCACCTCGTCAGCCGCAGTTCCCCAGTTATCAGCATGCTGCAACATGAGCTCACTGGGATATTTGAGATATTCACCTGCGGGACCAGAAAGATGGCTTTTTATATCATTACCCTGGCCACTAACCCCCGGAATGGAAAGGAAATCAAGCTTCATAGGAATAACGTCGCCCACACCCACTGATTCGCCCCCATAAGGACTGCAGGCGATGCGGAGCGCTTCTAAGGCTCCTGCAGTTGAAATATGCGAAGGCGGCGGCCCAAATTCACGAACTCGCCGAAGGATATGATAAAGAGCCTGTCGCTGCGCCAGCGGCAACCCTCCAAGATCAGTGACCCTCCGAACCGGCCGTGCATAGGTGCCACCAGAGTAGAGCGCGTTCAGGGACTTGATCACAAGATTTGCCTCCCTCTATACATGCGCTCGCTTTTGAATTCGTCTCAAGGTTGCACGGGATAACTTGCTATCAACATGGACGGCCTCCTCCTCTAGCAACGGCAGCGGCAAAAGGTCACGCTGTCTGCCCGTCATCCCAATCAGAAAACTTTGCCGAAGATGAAAACTCTTCTAGGGCGCCCCGGCTCTTCGGTGACCTTGGCACCCTGCAGGGAGAAGCTACTTCTTGGGCCCGCCTCCCCCCTCCGGGTTTGGCGGCGAATTTGGCTTGCTTTTGCTCTTACCCACTCCCTTTGACTCTGCCAACTTTCGCTTTTCCTTCTGGATCTGCGAATCCTCGTGCATGCGCTTGGCCACATGCTGCACCACGATGCCTCCACCCGGCCTATACCGCCGCCCCATGAAATAAACTGAGGCCTCATACGAGGGTGCACTGGGATTCCCCACATGTGCCTCAGCAAGCAGCTGCTTTCTTCAGATGATCATCTCGAAGCTGGCCAAGTTGACGATGTTCAAATAATCATATCTCCCAGCCGTGTCTATTACCTTACTGAGGAGCTCATCCTCATAGATTGCACGGTCGCCCTCCGGAATCCTTGCCTGCTGAACCCATGCCAAGTGCTGGGTGTAGCAAGATTCCGCAACCTCACAAATCGCATTAAGGCAATCCTGGCACGTACGGGGATGAAGAGGCCAGTCGTCAAACTCGACCTGCACATACTCTTTCACCGTGTCCTTGAAGTTCCTCCCCCTATCCCCGTTGGCAAGGTACTTCACTGACATGGTGCGAACATCGTCGCCCGCCAATTTATCTTCCCCAGCCGAGGCCTCAGCATCCCGGCAAGAGGCGATGCGCCCCTCGCAGTAACCACTCAGATCAGCACTATCCATTTTTGCCGCCATGGTGATGACACTTCTTCCATCGGAATCGGTAACCCTAATCAGAGCGCGGTCCTCCAACCTGGGCGCTCTATCTGGAACGGTCACTGCTTCACCAATCTTGCGGCCCTTCACGAACTCGTAGAGGACCCAAATGTCGGAATCCGCAGCGACGGCCACGGGAGCCCTAGCCCCCTCCATTGGTCCAACACCGGCTCCTTGATCTCCGCCTACACCGCGGCTGCGCAACTCTTCCTCCGCTAATGTTCTCCCTGATTGCATGGGAATAGCCAGTTCTGCTGGGAACATAGGGGTGAATGCATAGATATTCCTGGCAGAGACCCCCCGAGGGATTCCCCCCTGGGGTCCGGAGAGGAAGAAGCGAGTGAGGTCCTCATTTGATTCATGGAGTATCTCTATGAATATATCCTTGTCCGGCGTAAGGACCGCATACTCATGGGAAGCATGTCAACCACTGCCAGAACCACTCGCGTGGGCCCCACTATGGGCCTCTCCCCATAATCCAGATAACCCTCATCTCCAGGAGTCAAGACCATTTTATCCAGTCAATTGGAACCCCTTTGTCGCGTCGTATATGCCCTTGGACTTGTCCTTGACCTGCACGGCTACCTCCTGCTCACCTTGTAAGCTTCGAACCGTGACCCTGAATGCCAGTACAGCGTTTGTTGCCAACACAATACCCACCGTCAACAAGAGACCCAGTATACCATAGATGCCCCAGCCAGTATTGCCCGAAGCTTCTCCTGAATGAATGCAAGAGCAGTGGCAAGCGCACGGAATAGCCTCAGGTTTTGGTTCGAAGGTCCCTCGAATCAACCACCCTGTAGCAAAACTCAGTACACTCACCCAGACAATTCCTGAGTCCATGGCATCCTAATCTTCCCCTGCTTTTTCTTGAGAGTAGCCACGGCCAATCCGTTATCAGCTCAAGCATTAAAACCCTGCTCAGCAGATACTATATTCTACGTATTTTCTCATTCTTTAAATGCCGGTCTAGCTATTCAATATCATTCAGAAGAACGTATATATCCGTGATAGATTATCATTTTTTCAATTTATAGATCAAAAATAGAATAGCATATAAGAATTTATATATACTTCCGATGCACCGCATAAATAATCCGCCAAAAATAAAGAAAACGGAAAAATCAACCCAATCTCAGATATTGCACAACCAAAAGACCGTATAATCAAAAATCTTAAAAAAAATCGATTTATAAATGTATATTTTCATTAGTTTTCATTATTATAGATAAGAATCTTCCTCGCATCCATATTTCTTTTTAATTTCTAAATCTCGTATATCCAAATATTTTCAAATTCAAATAGAAATCAATTCAGAATCATCCAGCACCCATTCCTATCAATATAAAATCTATTATTCATCTTTTAGAATTCAAACCATATATTCATATTAATCGACTAGCAAAATTTAACATATCTATTTATTAAATTCGAATTTATATATTTATCAATTTAAGAATGAATATAATTTCAACAATCAAATTTCGAGAAATCAATAATTCTTTATAGAAAAGTATAACTTTTGCGAAATATAGAATCTAGAAGATAATATGAAAATATTTGCTTATCATATTTTGTTTTAATAGAAATTTTCAGGATCTTAGCATTTCAAGCTTAGAAAAAAATTATAGTATTCCAAAGCTATTCTATTAATATCTATCTTGCTCGCCTCAAAATACAAAATCATGAATCCGCGGGTGATCTCAGGCAAATGATATACGAACGAAGGTTGTCCTAATCGATTTGAAATATATAATTGTCGAAGCATTTTTTTGTTGAATCATTTTATATGATTCATACGGAAGAATATTATATGAATTCTAAATTTCATCGAATAGGTTTGTAATGATCCTATCATCCCCCAGCATCATGATTATGATTGCCGCTAATTCGTTCAATTCGCATGTTGTGGCCTGACTTCCAGATCAGCTGTCTGTTTTCACCCAGCCGAGCCCGAATCGATAACTATTGACCTCAGTGGGTCAGCCATCGACATTAGGATCCTCAACCAACGTGCCGACCCAAAGGAATATTGAACTTGAGGCTCAGACGGCTCATCATCCGGATCTTGTGCAGTTGGATTGACCTGTAAATAGGAAGCAGCATCCGAAGGTGGGCGGGCAAGGTGCTCGCATAACCACAGGGCTAGCAAGAAGTTTGATATACCATCCGATGCAAACATATCCGAGAGGCAATTTAGGCATGCAGATTCCCCTTGCAATTTGCAACTGCAGGCTGCAGCGCCTCTAACTCCGACGCGCAGCCGGCCACTTCTGAACGAACATGCCCAGCACCCTTTTGTACAACACAGGCGCAGCTCAAGGTACTCAACCTGTACATGATAGAAGCCTGGCTCAGTCCTTCTTTGAGGATGTTCCGAGAAAGGCTATAATAGCAAGGCTGGTGATCTGAGCTCCCTGCTGGTGGTTGATTTGGGTTGCTCAGATCAGCTCGCGGGCTGCGCACCACAAGAGCGTTTCACGTCTGAAAGGGCGCCTGACAGGAATCCGAGTGACGAGACAATGTTCAAACTCCCTGTAGCGCAAAGGTTGGCCGCTGCGTTTTTGGGATCTGCCGGGCATTCTGTGGCGAGGATGCCAACAAAGCCGCCAATGGTTGTGAAGGCTGCAATGACGGCAGAGATGTCGAGGCTGCAGCCCATCTTGAAGGGCTCCGCTGAGGCATCACCGGCTGCAAGGGGACATTCGACAGTCCCTGCGGTGATGAAGACACCCGCCGCCGCCGCGAAACCAAGCAGGCCGGCAATGTCAAATCCACACTTGATCTCCTTCTCTTTTCGAGATTTGGCCTGCTGGGCTATGGATGCGATGGTTTGTGCTGGCATAGTGCACTTACGAGCTTGCGTGCAAATGAAACTTGCACGTAGCCACAGGTTAGATGTTGTTGTGAACCTAATCTTGATATGGAAGGACGCACTCGAGCTTGCTCCGAAATTCTAAACCTCCAGAGTTCTGGCTGCTGGTTGCACTCAAAGTTTCACACCTTCTTAGAAGCATGTGAGCCGCAGCAGGTGAGAACAACGCTTCAAGTCAAGATCCACCGAGCGTGTGCCATGGAGCACAAGGATGAGGGTCGCTCCAAAAATGCTTGCAACTAGTTTCCACTTTTGTCTTTTGGCGTGCGCATGCTGCAAATGGGGGTGTCCAACCGATGCGGCACTGGGCTGATTGAAGCTGCATGACGGACTCACTAGTTACGGGCAAAAAAATCCACACTCGTCAACTCCTTATCTAAAACCATCTAAAACCACGTGACCCATACACAAGACTCCTTACTACCCGTGTTCTGATTGGGTGCTGTACTTCAGCGCACAACGTCCAAACTTCGAACCCTGTATCCACTCTCCTGGCCTGCTTGTCCGCTAGTCTCACTAACTAGCATGCCTAGCATGTCTGGATGAGTAGTAAGCAGTTTTGCAGTGCAGCAGTGCGCCTTGCGCTTCTCCCGTCTGATCTTGATCCACTCCTTGTTGCTTAGAACGAACCCACCCAAGCTTGCCAGGGTAGGCAGGCGTGACAAGACAATCTGCCGCACGTCGTCAAGCTTCGCTTCTCCCACGGGGTTGTTTTCAATTCCCAGCCTCCTGGACAATCCACCAACGATGTCAATGGCACTGACGTCTACCAAGTCTGTGACCACTTGGGGGTCCCTCAAACCAGGATAGGGAGGGCATGTAGCGTCAGCAGTCTCTGCTCCAGCAGCCAGGTAAGACACCCCAGAAACTAGGAGGGCCATGTCCGCTGCACATTGGGCATTTGGATTCGGCGGGAGCTTCATAGACAAGGCACAGTCTGCAGCAGCACGTGCAAGGAATGCTGCAGTGAAACTGAAAAGTGCCACAGAGGACTCCACGCCAATCCGACAGCCCTGATCCAGCAGCTTCATGATGGCTGCTTTTTTTCTCTCATCAAGAAAGTCAATCCTGAGAAGATCCTCTTTGAAGCGATCCAGTGTTACAAAGCTCCGGTATTTGTCCTTGCGTTTGCAAGCCTTGACGGCACCGTTGACAACGTTGCCGATAATCCCTATAAATGATGCCACCAGGTAGACGTCAACTGTGCAAGTGGCAATGGGCAAGGCCAGTGGGTTCTGCGTCATGTCCTGGAGGTGTCTCTGAAGCTTGAATATCTCAGCCACAAGGCTGGAGTTTGCGTGACTATGTGATTCAGGGGACATGTCGCTCAACTCGAACAGCTCCAGCAACGGCTGCACCCCCATGTCATTTGCAACCTCGATCGAAGACTTGGGCATTGGTGAGATTGCCGAAGTGCTGTCTTGCTCAATCTGCAACACACACATCCACATGAGGGCGACCACCACAGCCGTGGTGACGAGAGTGACAGTGAGCTTGCGAGCTACTCCCTGAACACGGGCTGGTTCATCTGTCTGGAGCTCAAGCTGCTCAGGCATGAGCTCTTCACATGCTATGAGGCCACTCGCAGCCTCGGCATCTGCTCCTGCCATGGCTACTTCGTCCCAGCTAGTTTGAGCTGAGACGTCAGGCTGCAGTGCCGCTTCTGAAGAACGTGCTCTGCATGCAAGTCTAAGTCTTACAGTCTTACATGTGCAAACACCTGCTGTAAGAAACAATGCCGTGCAAAGCAGCGTGCACCAACCTCTTGTTGAGGTCTCTCTTCCGCACCTCCAGTCACCTGACGCGATTTGAAAAACATCCGTCTAGGGGGCTTGCAAAGGGCCTCGTCTGTGATGGAAGTGCTCACGTTGCGTGCCTGCATCTCCAATGAAGCAAGTGCTTCACATGTTCACGGAGCTTTTCCTTGCCTGCGCAGGCGGGCGCTTCAAAGCCAATTTCTCATCGTGTGGCAGCGCGCGCGGGCCTCGGTGTGACAAGGGCGCATGGATCTTCGAAGAGACCCGAGCCAAACCATCATGCAGCATTCAAATGCTCGAGCTGGACAAAGGATCTAAGACGCCTGAATCAGACTTTACGAAGCACTCGTCCTTGTTGCTGAGCTGGGGACGTGCATGGCTAGTTTCCTGCAAGTTCAACTGTCTTTGCAAGAGCCTGACATCTGAATGTAGCGACCACATTCGGACAGTCCTCCTGGTCGACCCAGGACGTCTCACCTCACGGATGAAGCTCAAAACGGTATCCTTGCTGAGCTGTCGCAAGGCAAGGACGCTTGGCTTTGACTTTAGGGGCCATTGTGCCTCTGCTTGCGCCAGCCTCTCGAACTGGTGGAGTGTCGGGTCGCTGAGTTCTGGCTGGAGCTTGACCTTGGCTCCGGAAGGAGACATGATGGCATCGGTTTCCTGCTTGCTCTCTCAGCACTGAAGTTGCAGTCAAAGCGAAGCTCCTGATGCTCGGTGCCTTGCTGCTTCGGCTGGCTGAAGACTTGAATGCTAGCCCCTTGAGTGAGACAAGAAAGACACCAAGTGGTTTAAAGACAGGTGCAAGTTGTCAAGGTGGCTGTGGTGGAGAGGGTGGGAAAGCCAACTGGACAACAGCCTGTTCTTGTGAATAGCACGGCGCATCATTCTTCAATCCAGTGCCATGGCTGCTGGTGCAGATTCCTGAGTTGTTGGCTCTCGGAAGCTTTGGAGAAGGCTGTGTGAGCTGCATCGCCTCCCTTTGCGAAGCGTAGAAGAAGCCTTGTGTGTGCATCACTCCAGGCAGATGGCACGTCCGGTGTAAAAAATCCCTATGCTGCCGCTGCAATGTACGAAAGAGGAAGAGGCTTACCTGCTGCCATTGCCACATCTAGATCCAAAGAACAATGCTGGTCAAGATACTCATGGATCCAAATACAGCCACCAAGGCCAAATTCTTCACCACAAAGTCCTGCAGTTCAGTTCTTCACTCACCTCCGAACGGGACAGTGCATGCAGGCCATCCTGCCCGCCCTGTCTGTTCGCCATGGGCAGGGATCCCACGTGGAAAGCCACTTCGTGGCTGTAGGCATTCCCTGAACTCTATTGGGAGCTGAACGGAACAGATCCACCGTGTAGCTTCTGGGCAAGCATGGCTGATCACGGCTGCACCCAGACTCAAAGCCTGAAATGTGCTGGCTAGACGTAGAATCAGTCATTCCGTTTCGCCATCTATACTAAGTAGCCATCTCTGCACGAATCGCAGTGCTTGTTTTCTCTCTGTGCATTCCTGGCAATGAAGCTGAGGAAGCGGCCGAGCAGACGGTGCACGCTGCACACGCTTTATACATCACTGCAGCATGCAAAGGCACCTGGCGCAAAAATCTTTTCCCCGCTGTGTCAGGCCACTTCAGAGCGCTGAGCTGTGTCCTTCGTGGCAGTTCGGGCTTGGGTTGTGGAGCCATACACTGTACACATCCTCCTAGACGTTTCGGTATCTCCGCAAGCAGAGTTGCTGGAGGTTGTCCTCTTCTGTCTCGTTCTCGATTAGAGAGGGGAAGCGCGCAAAGCGCCGTGCAATCGACTGAGCACCAAAATGGCCAAGGAAAGGCGGATGCAGGTGTCCTCTAGACTCATCATGTGGGGCTAGCCAGCAGATACACGGAACTCTGCAGTAGCATATTTGGACGCCTTGTGGCGCGTAGCAACACAGTTGCTGTTGCAGGCTTGGTATATAAATATCTTATAGTATGTAGGGCAATGTAGGGACACCGTCATTTGCGGGGCGAGTGCTTGGGCACCGACGTCTGTCAACTTGCGGGCATCAATCACTTCATCTGCAACATTCCGGGTTCCGAAATATCCGGGGCCGCAGACCTTGCAGGTAGTCAGGAGTCCAAGGCATGCGAGGCTGATAGCACAACATGGTGCTGGAAGCCGGCCCTACCATCTTATTGCCAGGCCTGACTTGTATGATGGGAAATAGGTCAGAACCCCTCTGCTGCCTGAAGCCAAGGCAGGTGGCGGCGTCGCGCTAAGTCGAAGTCCTGCAGGTTACACCCTCTACTTCTGAAATGACCTAGATTTTTGCAGATTGTTTAGGAATTCTAGGCCTGAAGCCACATCGAGGATCCTACTACCTCATCTAAAAGAAGCGGCTCTTAAGCCTTTGCAACACGAGAAAGTTCCTCGAGAAGCTGGTGATGGCCAACTTTGTATTGAGGCACGGCCTGGAGATGATGTGACCCTGACATACTTGCATACATAGATTTCAGCTGGGTGCAAAGCAGCCCTCACACAGGAAAGCGTTACAGCATGAGAGAGCACCAATTCCCTGCTGGGATCTGTGCATCTTCACTGTTGCATAACATTCACTGTTTGCTAAGATCCCAGCATCGTGCCAGAGCTTCACGTTGACATCTGAGGGCCTTGGCCATGCGGATCTGGGCGGTTAGCTGGACTGGCGCTGGTCGGACTCTGAGACCGATGCTGCTCTTCAACTCCCAAGTGTCGCTTCACGGCTTCCAAAGCGCTGGTCGCCATGGCCTCCTCCGAAAAGCCTGCTGTGATATCTCTCGTGTGCTCTGGCTTGCTGAAAAATGGAGTTGAAAAGCTTCTTTTTGAGCCTGCCTTGTCCGCACTCCTCTGCAAGATGGCCGTCGAAATACCTCATAAGCCGGACAACTGCAGCGCCAATTGCGGTTTTGTCTGTTGAGATTCAGCAAAGGCACAACGTCACTCGGCATCCCGAAGTCAACTCACCTGGCAGGCTGCAAGCTCTGGCAGACTCTAGCATGGCCAAGTGCCTTGTTCCGGAAACAGTTGGGAGTCCCAGGACATGGCCAGCATGGACCTTTGGCTGTAAGCAGGCTGGTCAAGGTAGGTTGTGGTACAAATGTCCAGTGCACTTCAGCGGCCACCAGCAACACATTTTTAACCCGAAATTGATGGAGCTGCAGCCTGCGAGAGCGGGTTTTCACAACTCATGCCATAGTCAGCAGCGTTCAGGAAAGGCACCTTAGTGCAGGACAGTTTGTCCAACAGACGTGCAACATCAGAGGTAGTTTACTTGCACTGTCTCAGTATCATCTCTTTTAGTCGCCCCCGTTGGAAAATCAACCACGCTTGATTCTCTAGTAGATCCAGTAATGATGTAACTACCCAAGGATGGAGGTTTACCACGTCAGCAGTGGCGGCTGTTGCTGCTGCTCCTACTCCTGCTACTTGCACTCCTACCGCTCCTCTTACTACTACTACTACTACTGCTACTACTACTACTACTACTGCTACTACTACTACTACCACCACCACCACCACCACCATCACTACCACCACTACCACTACCACTACCAC